CCCGGCGCGGGCTCCCCCGGCCCGGGCCCGCGCCTGGGCTGCGCCGCGCTCCGCAACGTGTCCGGCGCGCAGTACGTGGGCTCCGGCTACACCAAGGCGGTGTACCGAGTGCGCCTGCCCGGCGGCGCCGCGGTGGCGCTCAAGGCGGTGGACTTTGGCGGCCACGACCTAGGCAGCTGCGTGCGCGAGTTCGGAGCGCGGAGAGGCTGTTACCGCCTGGCGGCCCACAAGCTGCTCAAGGAGATGGTGCTGCTGGAGCGGCTGCGGCACCCCAACGTGCTGCAGGTACGAGGGTGGGGTTCCGAGAGGGCGCTGTCTGGGAGTGCCCCGGCCCGACCCTGGGCTGGAAGAAACCCCTTCATCTCAGCGATGGGGTGCCCAGATTAAGCTAGGTTTAGCCCCAAACTGACACGCTTCCCACTGCTCCACTCTGCCTCCATCTCTTGGGTGAGTGGTTCTCGGAGTTTCTCAGCTTACACACCCCCTTAAAGACAGTTCAGGAGAAGGGTGTCCAAAACTCCAGGGGGTTGGCAAGTGGCTTAGAATTTAAGCCCGTGCTCCCAGCTAGAGCGAGGGTATTGAACACCTCAAACCAGGGCACTACAACATCCCTGCCTGAGTCAGCTCCCAGATGGGGAGACAGGGACCCCTTCTTGGTAGAACCTGAACCAGGCTTCTTTCACTTTCCACTTGGGGCTGAGAAGGGCTGGAAGGACCATGTGGCAGGCTTCATTCCCAGAAAATGCTCACCGCACCCAGAAGCCGCAGAAGGAAATGAGTAGAGAAGGTGATGAGAACATATACAGCCTTTTCTAAAACTTACCCTGGGGCTCCTAGGCCTTCTAGTGCGTCCACTTGAGCCTCTGGAGAGGCCTTAGCATCTTAGGCCAGTGGACAGAGGACCTAAGGGTCTAAATGTCACCCTGTGGGAGTGTATTTGGCCAAAAGATTGGAAAGTTGAGAAGGCCAGAGGCCCAGTTTCCTACTGAGACGCTGCTTCCCCTGTTCACTTGGCAGGGGTAGAGAGAGATGAGACCCCCAGCTGGTCCCCTCGAAGCAGGACTTAAAGCTGGGCTCTCACGATCCCAGCATCACTGTTGCCCTATACCCCATTTCCTCTCTCCCTGGTCTCTGTCCTTGAGTTTGCCTAGGAGGAGACAAACAGTTCCCTTTTGCACATGTCTGAGCAGACAGAGAGGGGAATCCCTGATTGTTCTTGGCCGGGTGAGCTCAGGGTGTGTGCAGACATCTGTGAGGAGTCATGTCCAAGCGCCCCACCTCTCGCGATTCTCAGATTCACTCACCTTTCTGTGCCCAGCAGAACTGACCAGAAGCCCCAGTGAGGGTTCTGCCTTTTCCTCAGGAATGAGATGGGTCCCTAGGCCTGGAGGGCTGGTTGGGCAATTCAGAGTAAGAGAGATAGACCAGAAAGTTACTTACACTCCCATATCCCCAGGAGACCCCTTCCATGGCAGACACTGACTGGGGTCTGGGCCCTGCGCTAGTAGAAGGAGGTTGGGCAAAGCTGATCTTGTGTTTGGTTATGTTTGGCTAACGGCTGACGCTGTATCCAGAACTTCAGGGAGGAAGCAGTTGGTTACGTGGCCATTCTAACTGGGAGGATCTTGTTCTCTTCACTTCCCAGGGGCTCTTGGGAACTTTCTGGAAATCCTGGGGTGTTGGCCAGATTCTGAGGGGGTGGAGAGGTCTTGAATGACTTAGCAGGACATTGTTAGTTCTTTGACTCAGGACCTCCTCTAGTAGAACAGGTTTGACCTCTGAGGTGCCTTCCTATATCTCTAGGAACTTCCTCACTGTTCTCACCAAACTTCCTCACGGCCACCCAGCTAGCCCCCAGCACAGACCCCAGAGAGGTCCTCTTCTGTAGCATCAGGCCTGTAGCGCTGAAGGCAGCACAGGAAAAGAATGACAGCAGAGTAGTTTGCATCCATTCCCCTACCAAGATGGACCCTGTCTGAGGCTGGCTTTATTATTCTGTAGGGTCAGAGGCTAGAGTTAGCTATTAAGGGCATAAGAGTTGCTAAAGTAGTGAGAATCCCATTGAAAAGGGAAAAGTAGGGGTCCCCCATTTGTGTCTCAGGGACTGCTTTTGGAGTACTTGATCCCCTGCACCCCTTCTGCCACCCTTGCATTCAGGGAAGCCTGCAGTGCGGTTTCTGACCTCCAGAAGCTTCAGCATGGGTGTGTAGAATTAGAATTGTGTTAATACCTTTTAATCACTTAAGACTTCAAAACCATTTAACTATTTGCTGAACTGAGAAGGAGCAAGAAAACACTAATAAAGTTCCCAGTCCCCCAGGCCATGGGGTTCCTTCCCCTACTCTGGACAGTCCAGAGTTGAATCTTAGGGCTCTCATAGCAAATCCCAGGATACCCTGGCCTGCGGGGCACTGCTCAGCATGCACAGAGATCCCAAGGAGACTGCCTGGTGAGACCGTTATATCTGCTGTGATCTTCTCCGTCTTATGGCACATGTGTGTAAATATGTACATGCATGTGTGCATGCACACACACATACATATGAATGCACACAGATGCCACTATAACCCAGGGTCAAAGGCCCACAGGCCTCCCCTCCACCCCCATCCAGGTCATCCTGGGGGCTTCAGGCCTCAGATGGGCCCCAGGCCTGCTTAGGCCCAGATTCTGATCATGCTAAAGTATATTTCTTCTCCCAGACAAAAGATGTGACTGAAACTCTCAACCTCACGCTTCCTGGGGAAAGGGGGGGGGGAGTTAATGGTGTCTTTTTATTTTTTCCTGAGGGGTGTTGATTAATACCTCGTTAACAGCGCATTTAACGACCTCCGGGTGTTTAATAACCTTCAGAAGTTTCCCACAAAGGCTCAGACTCTGGGCAAGAAAATGAGAACCAGGCTCAGGGCTGCTCCCCTTACCTCCCCCACCCTGCCAGGTCTGGGGCCTCCTTGGACTAATGTGGGGGTAGAGAAAGAGAAACAAGAGGATGCCTAGAACTGTCTTCTGACCCCCCCCCAAGTCTCATGCCCCAGCACTGAGCTGTGCCTCCTCTTCTGTCACAGGACAGGGGCAGCTGGCTTCTGAGGAGAAGAGGGGCACCTGCGGGCCTGCAGTGGGGCTGGGAACACGCAATTGTTGGCAGGAGGGGTGGCAGTGTGCAGGGACATCTAGCCAGCAGGCTCAGCATCTCCTCTGCCGCCCGTCTACCATGTAGCTCTCTGCTGTCTCGAGTCAACTGGACAACTCAGCCTTTGTGCTCCTGCCCTACAGGGTGGCTGTTTAGAGCCCATTCCGAGGCTTGAGGATCAAGAGACACGGGATTCCCTTGGCCACTGGTGTAGGTGTGAGTGACAATATCTAGCTGTTCTTCCCTGGCCAGCCGGGTGGTTCCAGCCCCTCCTTACAGGAAATGGGGGTGGCAGCTCTTGTGACCATACCCCCAAGAGACAGTCTTTCCTGAGAACCATCCCTTACCATTAGTGCCCCCTGCCATGCCATCCACATGAACCACATTGGCAAGGAACATCCAGAATTGTGCCTCTTTGCATTTCCTCCTGCAAGACCCAAACAGAGCAAAGAAGAGGCTCCAGGTGGGGATGATGAGTAGAATGAGAGTGAAGCCAGGAGGAGGTGCACACTAGGACCCAGCATTCTTTAAAGGAACAAGGTTGTAGAATGTGAGTGGCACACAGGAGCTCTTGTACTTTTTAGTCTTGCAGCTTAGCCTCTCCGGATCACTTGCCCCTCCTGAAAGGAGAGATAACAGTAGTGCCCACTGTTCCCATTAGGGTGGTTGTAAGAAGTGAATTCTGCATGTAGTATGTTCAGCCCAGTGCCTGCCACCTGCCTAACACACGGTGGCTGCATGTGTCCATCTCAGTGGGAACTCTGGCTGTGGGAGAGAGGACAGACTTCCACGGCAACAGCCCTCTTCTCTTGCTATTTCTAGCTATCTCAGTTTCTCTTGGCTGGCCTTAGCCCCAAGCAAAGGCCTGAGGGATGGCCTGGGGGCAGAGCCCTTCTGGGTCCCTGCCCCCACCCTGTGACCTAATGACCTGCCCTGGGTTTTCCCCAGCTCTATGGCTACTGCTACCAGGACAGCGAAGACATCCCTGACACGCTGACCACCATCACGGAGCTGGGCGCCCCAGTGGAAATGATCCAGCTGCTGCAGACTTCCTGGGAGGACCGATTCCGAGTGAGCAGGAAGGAAGGCTCCTGAATGGGATGGTTCTCCTTAGAAGGCCAGCCTTCCAGAGCAGTTTGGACTCCTCCTGGGCTGAGGGAGAAGGGGGGAGGCAGGGCACAGGCTGCCTCGGCCCTTGGCCAAAGGGTTAAAAAAGGAAGCAAGAGGAGAGGAGCTTCACATTGTGCACCCTGCTGCTTTCAGCATGCCCGACCACCCCCACACACACAAACACACAGCCACTGCAGCAGGGCCCATCTCTCAGGACCACAAGTCACTTTCAGGTCAGCTTGGCCCTTGCTTTGTCCCCATCACCCTCAGGATGGAGCATGGGGAAGGGGAAGAGTCGTTATCCCCAGAGCACTGCTGCTGTTTCCCACCCACTTCGTGCTATCTGCAGGGTCAGCCCAGCCTGTGGGTTAATCAGTTAGAGTCATTATGACCTTGAAGGCGGCTGGGCTCACCTTCCCTGAGCCCTGAGGCTTAGAGAACCAAAAGGCTGAGCTCTGGGCTAAGTCCGCAGCCCCAAAGGGCGTCTCTGCACAGTCCAGCCAGCCCTCTCAACCCTGTGTCTGCCTTCAGATCTGCCTCAGCCTGGGTCGCCTCCTCCACCACCTGGCCCACTCCCCACTGGGTTCCGTCACTCTGCTGGACTTCCGCCCTCGGCAGTTTGTCCTTGTGGATGGGGAGCTGAAGGTGACGGACCTAGATGACGCACGCGTGGAAGAGACCCCGTGTACAAGCAACGCCGACTGCGTACTTGAATTTCCAGCAAGGAACTTCACCCTGCCGTGTTCAGCCCAAGGCTGGTGTGAGGGCATGAATGAGAAGCGGAACCTCTACAATGCCTACAGGTGAGCTCCACTACATGCTCAGTAGCTTCCGGGAGGGCACAGCTCAGCGAGAGCCAGTGCAGGGTTCAGTGAGGGTGCAGGCTCAACCTTGGCTGAGATGGCCTTGGGGCAGGGAAAGGTTCCTGCCTGGCCAGTTAAGAGGGAATGTTCAGGCTTCAGAGGACGGAGCTAAAAATAGACAGCTCCAAGGAGAATCTGGGTTGGAGGGTGGCAGCTGGAGGCTTCTTAAAATAGTGCCCGACTCAGGGCCTCAGGCTGGTAGGACCCTTCTTTCCCTTCCCGCCTGGCTCTGGACCTCTTTGAAGCCCTCATGGCTGAGAAGCACTGACTCTGGGCTGCTCTGATGCTGAGGTCAGCCTGGGGGCAGCATCGGCTGGCCATCAAGGAAGAGGGGAAAAACAGGCCTCAGGTCTCCGTATGACCTAAAGTTAACTGTGATCTTAGCTGAGTCCAGACTCGTTCTGAGGACTGGGATACCCTGGGGCGTGACTGGTCACTGGGACTGAGGGATCAGGCCGGCTAGGTTGGGATCAGAGAAGGATGTGTCAGAGCCTGTGTCCCTGAGCCCCTGTTCCTCTCTGCCACAGATTTTTCTTCACATACCTCCTGCCCCACAGTGCCCCGCCTTCCCTCCGGCCTCTGCTGGACACTATCGTCAATGCCTCGGGTGAGTTTTCCTTTCCCCTTTCCCCTCTCCACTTTCCCCTCCCTGGCCTTCCCCCAGCCAGAGTGACATCAGGAGTGACCCAGGGCAAAACAGGGCCCAGAAGTCTTTGCCCAGGCCAGCATTGTGTAGTAAAGGCCCTCCCCAGGCATCTGGGCCTGGGCCCTGGAGGGAAGGAGGGGCGGCCACTGGTACCTACTGCAGGAGGGAGCAGGAGCCCAGGCAGCCTGGCAGCAACACCACCCTCTGCAGGAGAGCTCACCTGGGGAGTGGACGAGACTCTGGTCCAGCTGGAGACAGTGCTACACCTGTACCAGAGCGGGCAGTATTTGCAGAACTCCTCAGCAAGCAGCGGCGCTGGTGAGTGGCCCCAGCCAGGAACCAGGAGACAGAAACAGTGGGTGGCAGCTCTCCAATTGGGCAGAGTGTCTCGGCTTCTCTTTGGGGACCCACCTGTCCAGTGTATGCTAAGGCTTACTTGGAGTAATACGAAAACTATTTAGCCTTCAGTTTGAGACCCCAAGCAAATTGGAGCAGTTTTTGTCCTACATTGAAGAGGGGTGGGCCCTGACCCCGTCCTCTGCGTGCCTGTGAACCCCTCTGTGGCTGTGTGACTTGCTCTGGGAGCCTCACTTTTCTCATCTGTGGATTGGGTTCAGCTCTTGTGGGGATTAAGTGGCAGGTGAAGTGTGTAAAAGCAATTGGCACACTTCCTAGTGCGCAGCTGGAGCACGGTGTGTATGTGTGCTTCTTTTCTTCCTCTGCACTCCCCAGGCTAGGACAGCTGGCTGGAGGTGCAGGGGCGTCAGGCGGAAGCCAGCCCCAACGCAGGCTCTTCCCAGGCGGAGGAGGCTTTTAGCCACCAGCTCCAGGTTGTGGTCCCTTTGCAGAAGTCTTGGGGTTAGCCATGGTTGGCAGGGCCAAGAGGTGGGCAGCCTCTGTATTCAGGGAGCCCTGGTCAGTCCTAGGGGTGGGGGAGCCCTCGTTAGCCCTGTAAATAAAGTTTAACGAGGTGAACAATGGCTGGCTCTGTCCCTGAGGACGCAGTTTATGGAGCCATAAATCACAGCCAGTCCTGGACTTTGGTCTAGCCCCTGGCAGGAGAAGGAGGCCGGAGGGCGGGGTGACCAGAGGCCCAGGGCTGCTACATTATCAGTCCAAATCTGGGGGTCCCCAAGCAATGGGAAGCGAGGGGTGAATGAGAGGCCTTCTAAGGAGCTGCTTCCCGATGCAAGGTATGTTCGTGGCCTCTGTAGCTCTCTGAATCATGGGGAGAGCTGCTCTCCCAAAACAGCCTAGCCATGGATGTTTTGCATTTCTGGGTCATTCACATGCTGCTTGACTCCAGAACTCCCTGACTGCCTCCAGCCTATCTAAGCAGCTTACCTAACCTCTCTCCTCAAGGGCAGGAGAAAGTTAGGCTGAAGGCACTCTGAACTGGCCAGGTCTACGTGGGATGTCTATACTCACAGGGTCAGAGTCCGGTGAGAAATGCAGGCCTCGGGGTCCACCCCGGATTCTGATGTGTAAGTCTGGGAAGCCCAGTCCTACGAGTCTAGAATGGCCAGACTTGAGCAGCTCCCCTGGATAGCTGGTGTCTCTGTATAGGTGACCAGCCCAGGCCTTTGCCCACCTCTCCCTAAAACTAAGGCTGTGCTTTACCTTGCATGGGCAAGCGACCCAGTTTGAGCAATGGAGGCTGCAAGCACCTCCACCCTGGCGGTGCTGGGCAGGAAATGAGTCCTGCAGCCTCCCTCAGCGAGTGCTTCAGTGCTGCCCCTGGGCACGGTGTCCTCACCTTTGCTTGTGGCTCCCCTCTCCCCCTCCAGAGTACCGGCGCATCCCAAACAGCACCATCCCTCAGGAGGATTACAGATGCTGGCCGTCCTACCACCACGGTGGCTGCCTCCTGTCTGTGTTCAACCTGGCCGAAGCTGTGGACGTCTGTGAGAGCCATGCTCAGTGCAGTGCCTTTGTGGTCACCAACCAGACCACCTGGACAGGTGAGCCACGGGGAGAGGCCATCCTGAGAGAGGCATTTGGACTTGTCTAGAGGTTGCCAGGTAGCAGGAGCCTCAGGAGAGCAGCTCCACCTCCAGGGTCAGAAACACGCAGACCTGTTATCTCTCACCTCCACCACAGGTCGGAAGCTGGTCTTTTTCAAAACTGGATGGAGCCGTGTGGCCCCTGATCCCAGCAAGACCACCTATGTGAGGGCCCCCGGCTGACCTGTTGGAGGGCTCCGCCGACCAGCTGACCATCCTCGCCAGCTGGGGCATGCCTGCGGCAGGAGAGATTCGCACCAGCAGCACTGCGTGTCACCCGGAAAGCTCTGCAGAGAGTGCTGACATCCCAGACAGACTGACGTGACCACGACAAACGTGCAATAATGCAAAATGTTAAAATGTGAGTTTACCAGCCCAGGTGTGAGACTGCCAGCTCCCAGGCCAGGAGTTGGTGGTGGAGGGGCTGATGGCTCCCCCAGTGCTCTGGGGGGCAAGCCAGGCTCAGGCAGGTCTGAACAGGGACAGTTCCGTGAGCGGCCCCATCACTGTGTTCCCCATGTGAGAATGTAGCCAAAGCCCGGGTGCTGCTGCTGCATGGGCCACGGCGGGCAGGGGCTGCGTTGGGACAGTCACTCAGAACGTCCTCTCAGCCCAGCTCCATTCGGAAGACGTGGCACTGGGAGTGCTCTGGGATGTGGGAGCCTGGCTGTGGCCCCTGACAGAGGACGCTTCCAGGCCATCCCGGGGGTTAGGAGCCAGGGCACAGGCGTCCAAATGAGCCAAGACTGGGGAGGAGGAGGAGCAGGTTGCGGTTTGAGCCAGGACCTGGAGTGGGGGTGGGGCCGGGGCCTCTCTGCCTCATTTGCTTTCAGTGAAAGCCGCAGAGCAGCCCAAGCCAGGCTTTCCCCCCTCCTGGAGTTTGCATATCCAGAAGTTTTTATACTTCTTGTTTATTAAATTGTTTATTTTTGTAAAAAAAAAAAATCAGTTAATAAAATGACTTTTCAAGGGAAAACTCTTCTCAAGCTAGTTTCTTGGGCTGCGACATGCTGGTCCTAAACTGTATATTTGTGTGTGTGTACATGCAAGTGTGTGTACACACATGCCCCAGGGGAATTCTACTCGGCTACTAATGACACCAATATGTGTCTTCTGGGCCTATTTTCATAGCAGTCATTTCCCACCTTGACCCGCCGCATCAACACCCTACACAGGACAATTCAGATTCCCCTTTTTCCCATCTTAACACACGCTAGCTTCTCTTACGCAAAGTGCTAAGTCAAAGGAATGGTGTCCCCGTGGTAGGTTTTTAGCCATTTCTATTAACTGGTAGGGAAGTAGCTAAGGACAGCCCCCAGGACCCCCTGCTAACCTCCCACAGGTCACCATGGTCTCCGCACTGCATCAGCCATGGTCACCACTGCCCTGCACAAGGTCGCATGCCTTTCTCTAAGAAATACACGCAGAGCAGGGCAAGGTGGTGCGCAGCTGTAGTCCCAGCACTCAGGAGGCTGAGTCAGGAGGATCGTTGCACGTTCAAGACCAGCATGGACTACAAAGTGAACTCAAGGCCAACCTGAACTTCATAGCAAGACCCTGTCTAAGAAAGACAAAGAAAGAAGGAAGAAAGAAAGAAAATTTAAAAAGGAAGAAAGAAGTGGAGAGTGGGGAGAAAGCAACTCTGGAAAGACCAGCCCAGTTTCCTGGATTCCAATAAAAAAAAGTGCTAGGAGCCTATGGCTTCCCAAAGCCAAACAACCACCACAGAAAGAGATCAAGAGGAGACGAAGGCCCTGCCAGTGAATGCAGATCTTACTTAAAATCCCCCATGCTCTCTCCTATTCAACATTCAACTTCTAGAATGTTCTCAAAGGACCCAAACCATTGAGGGTTTAAAAGGAATAACCAAGCTTTCTCTCAGAACCCATTTCCCCCTGAGCAGATAAGGTTAGTGCTGCTTTGCAGATGCAGGATATTCCCAGGGCTCTAGGTGAGGAGCTGGTACTGGCTCTGGAGTCCCTACCACGCACATCGCTGTGACCTTCAGAATTGGCACTCAGCACTGCTGTTCAGGTCACATGCCTTACATCTCGTTTCTGTAGCTGGCAGAGGACAGAGTAGGGGTCCGAATGGAGCCTCGCTTTGTGACTCAACCAGAAAGCCTCTCCCCACTCACCTCCCTCGGTCCTCAGCCCTCTGACAGGGACCTCGGCTCACAGGGGCCTGCAAGCCTTGGTCTACAGCTGGATTCACCACTGCAACACAGAGTCCACTCCAGGCCACTGAGTTAGATTTTGCTCTGCCCTCGCTATCCAGCTGTCATGTAGCCCGAGGGAGCCGTGTCATCATGCTGAACTTAGGGAGCTGCCAGAAGTGATGAGCGCCTGGGAGGAGTGCGTGGAGGCAAGAAAATGTCTCTCACAGTTCAGAGAGAGACGAAGACCAAGTTCTACTCAACAGAGAGGCAGGGAAAGAGACAGCTGAAGAGGAGTCCAGACTAACTTGCAGGCTTCAAGAGGTTTCCAGAAGATAGGTTTGTGAGCACAATGGAGAAGGCCAGAGGAAAATGACACCTGCAGAGGGCCTAGCTACGGTTATTCCAACTTCACTGAAAATAACCCCCCTCCCAGCCAGCCCTAAATCACAGACCACGCTGTTCAGTGCTGGGGGTGGAATCACAGCCAGAGGAATCTAAGTTAGGGAGGCTCATCTACCTCCAAGTGTGTGACAAACTAAAATGGAGGCCTGCAGGACATGGCCTTAGAATGTCCTGCCCACCCCTGGCCGAAGGGTGCTACGCAGCTTCTCCCTCAGAGCATGCGTCTCGCCTCAGCCAGGACCTAGCTGGAGAAACAACTAGATCTGCTAAGGAGGACCAGGGCACAGCCCTGCTGCGCCGCCTCTCCCGCAGCCCCAGTGGGAAACACTGAACAAGGGAGGTGGGCCTGGCTGTCTGGGTCATGCCCTGGGAGTTGAGTGTATGGCAGATAGAAGGAAGAGGATTAGCAGGAAAGCAGAAAATGGGATTAGGAGGCCTCAGGATAAAGGGCCCATCCATCCTTCATCTGTGACAACAGCTTCTGGAGCCCAGAGAACATAAGACTTGGTTGCCCCACCCCTGGCTTCCAAGGCAGAGCCAGGGAAGGTGGACTCAAATGTGAGAGTACTCGACTTGATAGGATAGGATCTGGGCTACAATCAGATGCCAGCCAAGCCTGGCTGCCTGTATGTGACTTTGTCACTTAATCCTGATGGCATCTAGGAGGTGGGTGGTGACCCAGAAAGGTGAAGAGCTAGGTTCTAACCTGAGACTCCACCCAGGAGCCTGCATTCCCTCTCCAATAGCCCTTACAGCATCCCCCGAAGAGCAGCATCACCTGCAGTTATCCGCTCATGCTCGCGCTGTTTCCGACATGCACTGCCTTTGACGGGAAGCACCCCACCCCCGGCCATTGAAAGACATCAGGTCTACCTGACTGGCATCCTCCCCAGAGAGTGAGCATGTTCCTAAAAACCTGACTTGAAGCAAAGCACAGCAACACCTGCTTACAAGCTCAGCAAAAGGATCATAAGTTCAAGGCCAGCTGATGTTGCTTCAAGGGGAGGCAGTGCCACATCAGTCCAGCTTATAGAGAGGTAGACCAAGACCCACCTTAATATCACCTTGCAAGTGCTAGAGGCTCCGTAGCCACTGACTAGGGAAGTTCATTCTCCTACCCTATGCCGAGCAAGGACCTTCTAGCCTCCTGTTTTCCAGACTGTGGCCCCTTGCCTCTGACCTCACCCACTCAACATTGACATCTGCTCCCTCCTCTCCTCTGGCTGCACAGCAGCCCCGGAATGTCTCTCTTGAGGTACAATGCCAAGACATTCTTCTGTCATCCAACTCCCAACAGGAAACAGCCTTAATGAATATAAGACACACTGGCCAACCTGCGGGCACGGGGCTGCCTGTGAATAGTGCTGCGAGCCGGACGCCTTAGAGACTGAGTAATTGCCACTCTACCAAAGCAAGGGAGTGGAAGCTGCTACAGAATCCGGGAGGAGAGTGCAGAAGAAGTCGACTAGAGAGGCAGCTGGAAAAGAGAGACGACCATGGCACACAGACTGCACAAAGAGAAGCACGCTCTCTGATTGTGCTCATCCTCCTGTGCCTCCTAACCTCTGTCCTGCTCAAACCCAACTTGAAGGCATAAGCCAAGACACTTGATGTGAGTTCCACCACCACCAGCCCTGAAGGCAGAGAAGAGCAGGGTGGAGAAGAGGGAACAGGGGCACACATTGGTTTGCTTGAGATGTTCAGTTCTTCATTGTTTTGTTTAAAGTAACACCTTGGAGGGCCAAGGAGATGGCTCAGTAGAATAAGCGCTTCCCTGGCAAGCGCAAGGGCCTGAGTTTGGTTCTGCCAAAAATAGATAAATAAATAAAGTAACACCTTGGGCCTGAACCTTCTGGGGGGTCCCTACAGCATAACTCTCAACAGCCACCATGAACCCCAAGGAGGAAAGGGCTTGACCCTGGCATGGTGAAAGTACTCGATATTTGCATTGGATTTGGCCTTCAGAAGCACCACAGACATAAACACGTTTATGGCACAGCTATGCTACTCAAGTCCATGGGAGGTGGTAGCCATTAGGGGAGAGAATCTCATTACCCCAGCAGGGGTGATAATGAAGAGTAGCTTATAAGGCACCATAGTAGAGCAACTCATAACCCTTTCTTGGGCTGTTACTGAGAGCTTTGAATCTGTCTTTTTTTTTTTTTTT